GGTAAAGATAGTAGCCATCTTCATTCATCACTTTCCAAATAAAATATGATGATTGCTTTTCTCTTCATTTAAAAATGTAAGCATTAAAAGTGATTCCCCTTATATCAGGTTATGCTCATTGACTTATCTGCTGAAAAATGCCACTGCCAAAAATGATATTACGTATATATTCAGGCAAGGTTTCATGCTGCAATTATAAAACCACAGAACCTGCTTAGCTGTTGTGATCCACCAGCCATCCACTTGGAGTACAAAATCACCAGGTTCCTAGTTTGATTACAAAGCCAGTGTTTGAAATGCAAAGTCTTAGGAAAGCTGGTCCCCATGATGTCTGGTTTTTGAAAAATAGAGGAATTAGGAAATGAAGAATGAAGACGGCTTCATTGTGGTCTCATATGTTTTGAAACTGTGACTTCTAAATAGGGTCTACTCAGTATTATTTCATTGCCTAAGGCAGGTCAGTGAATGATGTTCTCCACCAACCTAAGTCAAAATAGCACTTAAAGCCAGCCATGTTGTTTTGGAACATGAAGCTGAAAATCCTTCAAAGACCTCTCCCAATCCCTGGTGTGACAAATATAGTACTTACAAATAAATATTTGGTGCCTTCCCACAACATCCTGTTTCTGGGGCCACTGCCTCATTCTACCTTATGGCAGACCATCCTCTGCCTGAACAAGGAATCTCAGGGCCAAAGTGCATGTAATGGTAAGAATCCATGAGACATAACTCATGCCATTTTTTCCCTTTCATAACAGGTATGTGAAGCCCTCTGTTCCTACTTTAAGCTTTTCCTCAAGGCCTAACAACAGCTTCGGGGGGATTGCTCTAAATTGGAGGGAATTGTGTTGGCAACCACTAGCCACAACAAAGCAAAGTTTTTTTTCCAATTCAAAAGAAAGGCTAATGTTCTTTTAGTGGGCAACTGCATTTTTTATTTCAAATATTCCAAAATCCGTATTGCGAGGACACCATTACAAGCCAACCAAAACAGTACATGCTGGGGAGAGCAAAAATACACAGACTTTTAAGAGTGCACTCTCTCCATCAGGCAAGGTGTTAGAAATAAATATGGAGAGGGATACATTGTTTCGTAATTTTTAGATGTGTCACCTCAGGATGAACCATAGTGTTTGTTCTCTAACCAGCCTCAGCTCTCACTGCCTTTGCTTGATTTGAATTATGTGTAAGCTTAAAGAGTGATCAAATGAAAACGAGGGCATCATTCCTGTCCCTTTAACAGATGTGTGAAAGGGGAAATTTCAGCAGGTGAACTTTAGCATCTCCTGAGATTTCTTCTTCACTATTAAAGGTACAGTATTTAGATCCTTCAAATAACCTGGACCCAAGCTGTATAGGGCTTTTTAGGTAATAACAAGCACTTTGAACAGGGCCTGGAAAAAGACTAGCAGTGAGTGAAACTGTTGTAACTAAGATATGTGTCACCATGGCTAGGTCAGATATTACAAGGAACAGGTGCAGCTGGCATACCAGCTTTAACTGTGCAAATCCACTCCTGGCTGCAGCTGAAACCTGGGCATCCAAGCTCAGGGTTGATTCCAGGAGCACATCTAAGCTGCTGAATTGAGTTTGAAGGGGGAGTTTGACCTTATCCACCAATTTATTACTGTTATTATGACTTATGGACCAGGGCTTGTAAAGCAATGTTGGGATAGGATCAAGGCCATTTACAGCTGGGGAGAAGGTGACCCATCAGCCACTTTCCAATCCCAGCCCAAAGGCTTATTTCTCTTTAAATCCCCAGTAAAAATGCTGCCACTTTGCACATGCTCTAAAGACAAAATACTCTGGTACTGGGGTCGTGAGCAGTGAGGCATCTGGAACCAAAGGTAGCTTTGCAAAACTGAAACCTCCACACCACAAGTGGCCGGTTTCTAAAAGGTTAACTTTATCGCAAAGAAGCAAAAAAAAATGTGAAAAATGTAAATCAATTGGGTTGCATGGACTACTTTTCATAATTTCCTATACAAGGCATAAACTAGCAACAGGTAATCTTTTAAAAATGCAGTCACCTGACTAAGTTTCCTAACAGCCGCAGTTTGGCAAAAACCTTGGCAATCCTACTCACGGATATACGTAGCTTTTTGGTTTTCCTTCCTAAGAATCCATCTCTTTGTTGGGATTAAATCCCACAATCTCCTGGAAAGAAAAAGAACCCTTGTTTGACACACACACACACCCAGCTCTACTTAAACTCCCTAGTGCAGTTTGTGTATTCCCTGGGAATTCTGGCCTAAAGGGAACTTCAAAGGGCTTTTGATTTGGGTACTTAGCAAATCTGCCCCTGAGGTAGAGGCCAGCTGTTTACTGTGTGTATTTTGCAGGTGAAGAGAAAGGGCCAGCTTGCGAATGGCTTCCTTCCCTTCCTGCACCAAATCCGTGAGCATCTTAACCTTGAGTCGTCCGCCCCCCATATCTTGACAGGGCTAGAGTGCCGAATGAAACCGGGGCCTGGGCGAAATGATTGTATATCACCCCCATCCCTTCCTGCTTCATTTGTCTCCATAGATTCGTGAAGAGGACTCAAACGTCGGAACGCGCCCAGTTGGGACAAAAGGGCGCTTATTCTTAAAAGCGCCGCGTGACCAGGATTACAGAAGAAGAAGAAAAAAGAAGGGTGGAAAGCCTGACGTCTTCAGTCTCTGCCCATAATGGAATGGAGGAGGCGAAGGAGGAGGAGAGAGCTCCTGGGAGCCTTTCTTATGCGCCCAGTCCGCTCCTCTATGTCTGGGAACGCGGGATGAGGCGGAGGAAAGAGAGGCCAAGGGCGGGGCTGGCCTCTGAGGGGAGCCTGGCGGCGCAGCGGTTCCGGAGGCTTCCCGGCTCGCAAGCGCTCTTGCTGGCGCCGCTCCTTCAGCCCGCGGGACCGGAGGCCTCTCGGAGCAGCGCTTGGGTCAAGCTTCCGAATGGCTCACCCTGACCACCCCGGGAGCTAATGGTAAGAATCCATGAGACATAACTCATGCCATTTTTTCCCTTTCATAACAGGTATGTGAAGCCCTCTGTTCCTACTTTAAGCTTTTCCTCAAGGCCTAACAACAGCTTCGGGGGGATTGCTCTAAATTGGAGGGAATTGTGTTGGCAACCACTAGCCACAACAAAGCAAAGTTTTTTTTCCAATTCAAAAGAAAGGCTAATGTTCTTTTAGTGGGCAACTGCATTTTTTATTTCAAATATTCCAAAATCCGTATTGCGAGGACACCATTACAAGCCAACCAAAACAGTACATGCTGGGGAGAGCAAAAATACACAGACTTTTAAGAGTGCACTCTCTCCATCAGGCAAGGTGTTAGAAATAAATATGGAGAGGGATACATTGTTTCGTAATTTTTAGATGTGTCACCTCAGGATGAACCATAGTGTTTGTTCTCTAACCAGCCTCAGCTCTCACTGCCTTTGCTTGATTTGAATTATGTGTAAGCTTAAAGAGTGATCAAATGAAAACGAGGGCATCATTCCTGTCCCTTTAACAGATGTGTGAAAGGGGAAATTTCAGCAGGTGAACTTTAGCATCTCCTGAGATTTCTTCTTCACTATTAAAGGTACAGTATTTAGATCCTTCAAATAACCTGGACCCAAGCTGTATAGGGCTTTTTAGGTAATAACAAGCACTTTGAACAGGGCCTGGAAAAAGACTAGCAGTGAGTGAAACTGTTGTAACTAAGATATGTGTCACCATGGCTAGGTCAGATATTACAAGGAACAGGTGCAGCTGGCATACCAGCTTTAACTGTGCAAATCCACTCCTGGCTGCAGCTGAAACCTGGGCATCCAAGCTCAGGGTTGATTCCAGGAGCACATCTAAGCTGCTGAATTGAGTTTGAAGGGGGAGTTTGACCTTATCCACCAATTTATTACTGTTATTATGACTTATGGACCAGGGCTTGTAAAGCAATGTTGGGATAGGATCAAGGCCATTTACAGCTGGGGAGAAGGTGACCCATCAGCCACTTTCCAATCCCAGCCCAAAGGCTTATTTCTCTTTAAATCCCCAGTAAAAATGCTGCCACTTTGCACATGCTCTAAAGACAAAATACTCTGGTACTGGGGTCGTGAGCAGTGAGGCATCTGGAACCAAAGGTAGCTTTGCAAAACTGAAACCTCCACACCACAAGTGGCCGGTTTCTAAAAGGTTAACTTTATCGCAAAGAAGCAAAAAAAAATGTGAAAAATGTAAATCAATTGGGTTGCATGGACTACTTTTCATAATTTCCTATACAAGGCATAAACTAGCAACAGGTAATCTTTTAAAAATGCAGTCACCTGACTAAGTTTCCTAACAGCCGCAGTTTGGCAAAAACCTTGGCAATCCTACTCACGGATATACGTAGCTTTTTGGTTTTCCTTCCTAAGAATCCATCTCTTTGTTGGGATTAAATCCCACAATCTCCTGGAAAGAAAAAGAACCCTTGTTTGACACACACACACACCCAGCTCTACTTAAACTCCCTAGTGCAGTTTGTGTATTCCCTGGGAATTCTGGCCTAAAGGGAACTTCAAAGGGCTTTTGATTTGGGTACTTAGCAAATCTGCCCCTGAGGTAGAGGCCAGCTGTTTACTGTGTGTATTTTGCAGGTGAAGAGAAAGGGCCAGCTTGCGAATGGCTTCCTTCCCTTCCTGCACCAAATCCGTGAGCATCTTAACCTTGAGTCGTCCGCCCCCCATATCTTGACAGGGCTAGAGTGCCGAATGAAACCGGGGCCTGGGCGAAATGATTGTATATCACCCCCATCCCTTCCTGCTTCATTTGTCTCCATAGATTCGTGAAGAGGACTCAAACGTCGGAACGCGCCCAGTTGGGACAAAAGGGCGCTTATTCTTAAAAGCGCCGCGTGACCAGGATTACAGAAGAAGAAGAAAAAAGAAGGGTGGAAAGCCTGACGTCTTCAGTCTCTGCCCATCGTGAAATGGAGGAGGAGAGAGCTCCTGGGAGCCTTTCTTATGCGCCCAGTCCGCTCCTCTATGTCTGGGAACGCGGGATGAGGCGGAGGAAAGAGAGGCCAAGGGCGGGGCTGGCCTCTGAGGGGAGCCTGGCTGCGCAGCGGTTCCGGAGGCTTCCCGGCTCGCAAGCGCTCTTGCTGGCGCCGCTCCTTCAGCCCGCGGGACCGGAGGCCTCTCGGAGCAGCGCTTGGGTCAAGCTTCCGAATGGCTCACCCTGACCACCCCGGGAGCTTCTTGCAGCGGGCTGGGCTTGGACCGGTCGGGGCGGGTCAAGCAAGAGCAGGAAGGGAGGCCAAGCTAGCCAGGAGACGGTACTGTCCTGGGCGGTGGGCAAGGTTTCCTTCTGAGGACGCCTCCATTCCCGCCTGGAAAGAGCCTGAGGGGGTTCCCGCTGAAGCGCTTATATGTGTGGCAACAGAAGGAATCTGTATTATTTCGCTTAGAGCGGGAAGCACGGTGGCATATAGACCTGCAGCTCATGGTTTATATTATTTCACTCCAGATGTAGGAAGAAATGCTGGCTTGAGTTGGAGGATGGACAGCATCATTGAGAGAAAAATGCACTTCTTCGGTCTCAGTTCATCTTTCTGAAATAGTTCTCATTGCAAGGGCGGCTTTGTTCTGTGACTGTAATGGAGGATCTTTTCATTGCACTAGAGGCCCTCTTAAACATCTCCCACATGAAAATGAAAGTTTGACCATTTTATAGTGATTTCCACTAGTGTTAGAGTGAAGCTTATCACCCTGCAGATGTTCCAAACACATCTTGTTTCTGCAAGCTGTCAACTGTAATTAAAGGTCTCTGCGCAGCATATTTTCCTTATTTTGGATGCAATTCATATTTTCCTCCCAGTGCAGTCTGGCATAGAAAGACACCTCTTGTTCTCCCATCATCCCAGATAAAGGTTCAGATTCTCCAGGGAGATATGATGAATCAAGCATTACAACTGACTGGCAAAAGAAATTGACCCCAGAGCCATTCTGTCACTAGAGTAAAAGGAGCTGAAGCATTACATTCAGAGAGATGGGATATATGTGCTATGTAAATCTGTTGGAACTTCGGAAGAGTCTCTGTGGACAGACTGCACCGACCAGTACCCTCCAACAAATAAATTCGAAAAATAACTTTTCCAAATTCTGGATAATAAAATATGACTGTCGATCATAGTGGCAATTGGAAAGCATTTTTATGAGAAACAAGCCATATGCGATTGGCCATTCCACACACACATGTTGGCTTGTCTCAATCTTGTACAAAGATTGGGGGGGTTGGGGGCACTTTTAAAAGTCAATTAAAAACATGGCTATACATTCAGGCCTTCCCTCCAGTTAATATCTGACTTTTCTGTTTATTCTCTCCTTATGTATTTTCTATTCTATTATTGTATTGTGTTTATTATAATATGATTTATGTAATTTTTTGTATTTTTTGTATTATTTACTGTTTTTACTATATTGAAAGCTACCTAGAATGGTCTTTTAGACCAGATAGGCGGGGCAGAAATCAAATCAAATCAAATCAAATCAAATCAAATCAAATCAATCAATCAATCAATCAATCAATCAATCAATCAATCAATCAATCAATCAATCAATCAATCAATCAATAAATGGTGCAGCATTGTCCTGTGGCCTTGGGCAAGCTGTACTGCTTCACAGCACCATTAGAAATAGGGACTGGTAAACAACACCTGAGTAGTTTATAACTAGCCACATAACAATTATGATTTTTGTAATAAAGCAAGTCCAAACCTTAAATTTACATAATTAGTAGATATTAATAAATTATCTACTGCTAGATAAATAATGTGTAGAGCAGATTAACTGGGATTAGAGTGGAAGATAAGCAACAATCAGAGGGAAATCGCAGCACCTGTTTAGAATGTTGGCATATCTCTTTGAAGACTTTTAGTGGGATCCATCTGTCTAGCATAAAGCCTGGAATGTTCCACTGTGTATGTTGCAATGCCCCATTATTCAGTAATAAATTGTAACTTAATCATACTTATATCTGTTCTTTTTTGTGGTCTTCTGTGATCCACATATTGGTCTCTGTGCCTTAGCAGAACAAGCCTAAAGAATGTTAGCCTCAGCAAAACAAGCCTAAGGAACATTAGCCTCAGTAGGCTAACAGTAGGCTAACAGCTAACCCGAGAGATCGGGTTGTAAATTCCCAAAGTACAACTGGATATTCCATGTGGCATCTGAGATTAGCACCTCCCAATTGATTAGCAAGTATGGACCTTGAGGCGCAAAAACACACACACAATATTTCTGGATGTATTATATTGCTTTAAGTTGCTTTCTCCAGCTCAGATTGAATACCAAAGATGGAGCCATCCAGGATAAAATTGGTCCAAAAACAAAGAAACAAAAAACAATGGAGTACAGTGGGGGAAAGGTTTAATGTTGCCCTTTCCTTATGAATTGCTATTCCACACACTTTTTCCTATTTCCCACTTTTGCCTGGTTGGATCCTTGGCTAAAATGTATAGCTTTTAGCCTTTGGTCTGGCCATAGTATCACTGTAGTTTGTCTTAATAACCCATTATGTTGACAGTGAGCAGTCTGTATGTCTGGTGGTACAGGATGACTGATGGAATGGGCCAGTTTATAGGTTAGAGGTAAAGTCTGTCTCCATTCTCCCTGCCCAGCAGAAGCAAGGGCAACTTGCATGCAAGTAAGAAAACGTGTGGGGTGGACAGAAAGTTGACTGGCATCTATTGATAGATCACAAGATAATTTGCAGTAGATCAGTGGTGGACTCACAGTGTCAGTGGTCCAGACAAAATGCTCCCTCTCTTTCACTGCAAAGTGATTGTTCCAGCTAAGAAAATCTGGAGGAGAACCAGATGGGAAACTTCGTGTGTGAAGAGAAAGTGAGCTCATTTCTGATACTTAAAGTAAGGTTATGGGAACAATATGAAAAGGTTACAGTATTTTTTTTTCTTGATGCTTCCCAGAACCTCTAATCCTTTGTGTGCTTAAGTTTCTTCATTTGAGAGCAGAATTCCAAAGTGTTAAGCATTCACTTTTGAAAAACAAGCTAGAAATCAACTTGGTTAGAAGTGACAGCAGGGGGCGATTGGTGCAGAAGGCTTGCAGAAAATCTGTTTAAAAGCAAAACTTTTTTTAAACTTTCAGTATAAGGCTGTACAATATAAGGTAGGTGTGGGGCAAGGTATGCTATACGAGGTTGTCAGCACATTTACCCACCACTAGGTGCCTCTAAAGAGCACTGATTCTACAATGCTCAAACAAACTGAAAAATTATATTTTCATTTTCCCCTTTACAGGTAAATAAAGAAAAATACATTGAGCCACTCCCAAATAAATATACTCTCAACTTTTACTTTCTTTAAAAGGAAAATATGTAATTAAAATATGTTAGCCTTTTTTCATGGTTTTCATGTTGTTGTTTCTGGGAGCATTGATGGAAATCCCAATGTGCGTACAAGCCAGATGAATAGTAATAATTAAACTTAATTAGTTTTGAAACCAAATTTCATGAACTAGTTGCTGATTCCGTGGGACTTTGTTGTTGTTTTGTGCTGTCAAATTGCCTCTGACTTAACGGCAAGCCTATGAATGAACAAAGTCCAAAATGTCCTGTCCTTAACAGCCCTGCTCAGCATTTGGAAACGCATTATGAATGAACAAAGTCCAAAATGTCCTGTCTTTAACAGCCTTGCTCAGCATTTGGAAACGCAAGACTACGGCCTTGTGGAGTCAATCCATCACATATCTGGTCTTCCTTTTTTCTTGCTGCCTTCATCTTTTCCCAGCATTATTGTCTTGCCTTTTCATGATGTACCCAAAGCATACCAGCCTCAGTTTCATCATTTTTGCAACCAGACGTAGTTCAGGCTTGATTTGCTCTAGGACCCACTTACTTATGTTTATGGTAGTTCAAGGTATCTGCAAACTATCCTCTTTTCTACAGCTCTTGCTCTGCTCTTCCCTTTGGGTTTCCATTGCTATTCCCACCTGACCCCACATACCCATACCTACCAAAATCAAGAGATTGATCAAAGGATTTCCAGTCTCCTATTGAGTTTGTGCCCTTTGGGTTTTTGCATGCAGTGTTTGTCAGGAGACCTTCAGAGGATCATCATCGTTTTAGGACTACAGAGTTCAAAGGGATCCTGTGCATCATTGAGTCAGCATCTGTCCCCATAAACATAACTCTAACTCTCAAGGTCTCCCAACAAGCATTGAATACAGAAGTTAACAGGATTAACTCTAACTCTCAAGGTCTCCCAACAAGGTCTCTGAATACAGAAGTTAACAGGATACAACCTGCATGGGAGACCAGAAATCCTTTGATCAATCTCTTGATTTTGGTGGGGATGGATATGTGGAGTCAAGAATGTAGCAATGGAAGCCCAATAGGAGTAAAAGCTATAGAAGAGAGGGTGGTTAAGGCCATTTTTGCAAGCACAATTACTCTGCTCCAAGCTTCCTACTTATAGAAAAGGGATATGCATTATAGTAATAACCTTCCTTACTAGTGTATAATAACATTTTGTTAATGTTCTATTTTGTTATCCTTATTAGCTCAGAATCGAAGTACGATTCAGAACACGGTGGCTATCCTTTTCAGAAGCCTAGGGATATGCAGCACAGATGAAAGCAATATTAGTATCTTGAGACGGTCTAATAATTCATTAGATCCAGCCACACAGAAGTCATTTGCAAAAAGGTATACTTTGAAAGAAGCATAGAGGGTGCTTACATGCAAGTGGTGTGTTCCATTCTGGTGTTATTTTGTGAAATGCTCGTGTTTGATTTACAGCCACATGAATCTATCTAAACATATGAAATTAGTCCAAGGTAAACCTGATAAAGGAACTTCTGGGACTGATCTTGGGCTTAGTAGTAGTAGTAGTAGTAGTAGTAGTAGTAGTAGCAGCAGCAGCAGCAGCAGCAGGAAGAGGTGGTGGTGGTTAAGGCTGAAATCATCTACACACAATCATATTGGATTGATGGCAGAGTAGACATACATTGGATTACATTGTAGTTGAATATACTACAGTGGACCCTTGACTTACAGACGGCTTGACTTACAGACTTTTTGAGTTACAGACTTCTCTGGCCGCAAAATTTAGGTTTGACTTGCAGCCTGAGAATTGACTTACAGACCAGAAAAAAAACAAAATGGAACAAAAACGGCCTGTTACAGGATTAATCAGTTTTCAATGCACTGTAGGTCAATGGAGACTTGACCTACAGACTTTTTGACTTGAGGACCGCCTTCCAATACGGATTAAGTTCTCAAGTCAAGCCCCCACTGTATATTTCTAGTGGGAGTAGTTTCCATTGAAGACAACAAGATTTACTTCCAAGCAAATTTTCATAGGATTAGGTTCCATACATGAAACAGTCATGCAGGAAATGGGTGATGATGCTGATATTTACAAGACTATGTTCTTCTGGAATCAGTACTAGAAATCCCAGTGGCTATTCTGGCTGTCTCACAAGGATAGTCAATTTAGTGGGACGCTGGTAAAAATGACAATACTTTGCTCTCCTCACTTTTATATTTTTAGTTGATTCTGATGCAGTGTTCTCAGCAAACATGTTTCTTGACATAGGAGGCTATCTTATTAGAGAGGGCTTACCCAGGAGAAGTCTCACTTTATTCCTGGAGTATTTGGATACACACAGAAACATTGAAGTTGGAATGGCTAAGTTTTGGGACACGGCAAGTATCAGTTATCTGGCAGATGCAGATTTAATTGGCCCCTTTGGCTATGAAATCAGTTTGTATAATTCATGTAGATACGCTTTAATTTAAGAAACTGGCATTGCAATCAAGTGTTTTCCTCTCTTGCAGTGTGATGCCCATCTGGGCCATGTGCTCAATGATGGTCCCAAGCCATCTGGGCAGAGGTTCTGCATCAACAGCGTTTCATTAACATTTATACCAAACTGAAGCAAGTGAAGCTTGCATCTTTACATCCTATGTGGATGATGCTTTAATGTTCCAAACATTCTTTCCAAAGAGGGCTATCTTGAAAATGTATCAGAAACCAGGTGCCTGTAGCTAATCTGTTTGTTTTATGTAAATACAGTGAAGACAATAATTAATTAGCATGCATATATTTGATGCCAAGCCATTGATGTGAGTGGTGCCTCTCGGTGTGCTCCCTATATGCAGCTCTTTCAAATGCACTGTAGGCTCTTCCATTAAATCCAGCACAGACAGTACACCCACGCATACAAAGGAATGTATATATATATATATTTCAATTAACCAAGTGTCTTTTTGGTTGCTGATTAATTATCTTGTTGTGAGTTGACCTAGTAATCAGTTACATGTATGCAATTTGTATATTTTTAAAGCTTTAACTTAAAATTACATGCTGAAATATAAAAATAAAATTGTATATTGTTATATGCCCATCCATCATGTTGGAACTGAGTTCTAGTGACCCTAGCAAGGCATTCTAGGTAGGATATTTAAGGACAGGTTTTGCCAGTTCCACTCCCCCAATAGGCTTCCATAGCTGAGTGGGAATTTGAGCCCTGGTCTCCAGAGTCCTCCTCTGTCAGTCTAGCCACAACACCACATTGAATATGTAATAAAAAATGTAAAATAACAATAAATAACCTTAAAATGGAAACCTATTATTGAAGAGCAAGGCCACATCTTATGTTTCATCAAGTTGAGATACAGTGGTGCCTTGACTTAAGAACTTAATCCATATTGGAACGGTGGCTGTAAGTCAAAATGTTCTTAAGTCAAAGCAGCATTTCCGTTCCAGCTGTTTTTTGTCCTTATGTCAAGGCATGGTTTGTATGTCAAAGCATTAGTTCCCATAGGAACCAATGCAAAGCTGGTTAATCTGTACTCTACCACTAGGGGAAGAATTTTTTAATTTTTTCTTCTTCTTTTGACCTAAGATAAACTTAGGTCAAAAAAAAGGGCAGGCTTTTTGGTTCTTAAGTCAAGGCACGGTTTGTAACTCAAAGCAATATTTCGCATCCGGAACTGTTCGTAACGCAAAATGTTCGTATGTCAGGGCGTTCGTAGTCATGGCACCACTGTATTATAATACAGACTACAGTACTTCTTACTTCATCCTCTACAGAAAACCTACATACTTAATTCCCACTTGAGATTGGACAGTTCCCATCCAAGAACCTTACAATCAAAACAGTAAAAAAAAAAAAACACCCTGAAAAAATTCACCGCCTAGAACACAAAGGAAAACAGTAAAAAAAAAAAAAATACACCCTGAAAAAATTCACCTCCTGGAACACAAAGGGAATAGTGAATGCCATCAGATCCCCTGAGAGTGAACATCTAAGTAATATTAGGAAACAACAACTGCAACCCCCCTTGTAAGCCACTTTGTTGAGCAGAATCTCAAAAATACCTAAAACTTTGGATCCTTGAGGCTATTCCTACACATGATGATAAGACTTTGCTTAGAAGGGAGATAGAATAGATAATAAGGTTGCACATATTGGTTCCTGGAGGCCTCAACAAATAGAGAGATTTCAAAAAAAACCCTTATAATTTCACTGCTACTCCCCAGCACCCCTGGTGATACCTATTCAGCCATTCCATGCACACCAGTCTGGCCTTGTAACATAGATGTGCAATTATCTGTGCATAAAAATGCTTCTCTCTTGCAAAAGAACCCAGACAAGATGGAGGTTCTGAGGGTGGGTGCCCCCACTGTTGGTGGCTTGGGTGACTCCCTCTCGTTTGGGGGGTGACCCTTGCCACAAAGAGTGGGGTTCACAGTCTGGGGATCCATCTGGCCCCGGCACTCTACGTGGGGCTACCTTTGAGGTTGACGCGGAAACTCCAAGTGGTGAAGAATGCGGCGGCCAGACTCCTTAGTGGAGCGAGAAAATACCATCACATTTCTCCTATTCTGGCCACGCTGCACTGGCTGTCCATTCGGTTCCGTGTTGACTTCAAAGTTCTGATGCTTAAAAGGTTCAGGACCTTGATACTTGGCAGAACGCTTACTCCCACCCAGTTCTACCCGTGTCACTCACGCAAGTCAGGAGGTGAGGCTGAGGAGCGTGACGCCGAGGGAGGCCCAGAAGGAAAAAACAAGAAACCGGGCCTTCTCAGTGGTGGCTCCTCGCCTCTGGAACAACTTGCCTCCTGAGATTCAAGTGGCTCCCTCGCTGGGTATTTTTAAGAATCAACTGAAAACATGGATGTTTAGGCAGGCCTTCTCCCCTCCCAGTTAATTCCTAATTTCTGTCCCTCCTTTTCTGTTATGATTTATTTTGTCTTTCCTTCCATCTTGTAGAAAATTTTCCTAATTGTGTAAACTATTAGACAAATGGGATGAATGAATGAATGAATGAATGAATGAATGAATGAATGGATATTGTTCATTCAAAAGGACCTGGACTCAGACTTAATCTTAAAAATGTTTCTGAACAGAGCTAACAAAAGTGCAGTGTTTTCAATGTGGAAAGGATTGTCACTCTCAAATTGGTCTTCTCGGCCACACTAGATGCTCTTCTTGCTGAACGGAGCAAGAACAGCCTCTCACACACTCTCCTCCAATATAGGTTACATACTCTAGGTATCTCTGAGGAAAACAAACATTACAAACAGAAATGGAGACAGAGTCTGGTCATTGTAAGTTGAGTGCATTTTGTGGTGCTGTCTGTGTCTCTGGAGATCTGATTGCCAAGCAGAGAATCTGCTGAAAAGTTGAAACTATGCCTCCACTGGTTTCTTTGCAAATAAACTCAAAAATTACCAAACAGCATAAGTCTCCTGTGATCCCATTTCAAACCTTTTGATATTTTTATGCAGAGGTGTGAAAATTAGATGACCAAACACATAAGCTAATGATAGAATTTGCAAATGAATATAGGCATCACATCAAAATGAAGAGTGTGGAAGAATACATCTAGAAGCTATTTTGAATCAAAATTAAAAACATCTACATGTTTCAATGACCAGAACACAGGAGTTTGCCATCTTTAAACATTATTTTTCTACCATAAATTGGAGTGGAAATTGCAATTGAATGGACTGCTAGTCTCCTGCCCAATAGATTTCAAGCATGCTTTTGTTCTTTTTAATACTGTAGTCTTTTTCAAGCTGCTTGTAGGGTATCCCTGATATATATTGCTAAATCTTCTCTTCTGTTACCCACTGTAAAATGGTAATACCATGGCTCAGCACACAGCAGGGTTGAAGCACTTAGCACATCGGAAGTGCTACAGAGAGAAGAGGTTCACAAAGCTCCTAAATGCAGTAGGGCCCTCAGTATAAAGTTAGCACAAATGCTATGATGATCGTAGATGCTCAGAAAAGATGTTAATATCCTCTAGCACTTCAAGGCAGTGCATGTGTGTATGTTTTTTTGCCAGCAATCTCTGCAAACAATTGAGACTTTAGGGTACAGATTAAAGCTACATAGCAGGTGGCAGTCTAATTGTGATCAGTTCTGTGTCTGCGCTGCTTATTTTGTCATCTGAACTGGCCCACAGCTGGCTCTCTCCCCTGATTATCTTCAGTGCTATTAGTCCCAGGTTCAAAGGAGGTACAGTCATCAGGTTCTCAATTTGCATCCTATGTGGGTAACTGAGTGAAAGGCGGTGGCCTGTTTGATTTGAAGTGGCATCAAAAAAAGAAGTCATTTAGACAGCTGCCATGTTTCACATTAGGAAGGGACTGAGCTGAGGAGCTGGGTATCTACCAGGGTTCCAGAACGAGTGCCCTTTTCAGTCTATTCAAAGGAAAGCACTTGTTATATAATTTGGGTATTAGTTAACCCAATGAGCCAGAACAAGCCTGATACTTCGAGCAGGAAACAGTGGTTGGAAGAGGGATAATGTCAATCAAGGTTGGCATATCCTCCACTGTATCTGGGATGGCACCAGGAAGCCACAAGAAAGTGGCTGAAGGAACAGGATGACAAATGGAGTAAGTTCATCCCTCCCTCTTACAACCTACTACCTCTTTTCATCCACAGAAATGATGAGAACTATTTGCAGAATCTGGACTTAACAGAATTAATGACATATTATTCCTGGCATTTTAGTATTTTTTTAAAGCAGCCTCCTTTGAGAAAGATCAAATCAAAGTATGTTGCTTATATATACTTAAAGCACTCGCTGGGTGGTTTACAATTTAATTATTCAGGCTACACCTTCCTCCCCCCCCCCCAAATTCATGAAAATAGCCAAAATACTAAACTGGCAGTACGATATACTGGGCAGGCCTATTCAAGGAACCTCCTAACAAGGATTAGACCAAGAAACACTCCAAAAACTGTTTTACAGATTTATAACAGGAGCATTTAACAACTGAGATTCAATAGAGGAATGGATCAACTAGAAGAACAGTGACAACAATGAGAGATCCATTAATTCCATGGGTACCCTAAGGATGAACTGGTTTTACTTGATATAAGAGTTCATGACTGGCGCAAGATACAAAATCGGTGAAAGTTTATGCCAAATAAAACTTGCTTTGCTTTAAACTGCCTCAAGACTGTTTTTGCTACAGGAACTAGGATGGTTGCCTCCTGGAGGTTAATTCCATTTTAACACACAAGATGGCACCAAAGAACCAGTTTATCCCTATAGGCATTATTTTGCTTTTCCCCATTGCCAATAATGGAATAACTAGCCTATAATATAAGCTGGGTCAAGTTAGTGTCTTCTATTGTAGTGATCACTTGATAGATATGCTTCTGGGTTATATAACATTCTTTGTTTGGGGTAGAAAAGGTGAATTAACACTGGTTTACTTGTGTTTATGTTGACCTCTCACAAGCATTAAGACAATTTCCTACCAACTTAGATGTGGTCATTCCACATCTAAAAATATCACTAATCAGACATTTTGACTCCCATATGCTACAATAATGTCATATATAGTAATTGTTGTTATTTGTCCTTCACTGTTCCAGTGAAACGCTACAAAGATTGAGTTACTGT